CAAGATAAACTACTCTACTCTCTGCTCACTCCTTTCCTGTAAAATACAGGTCCAGCCCACACATATGCTCCATCAAGGACGGTGCTACAGGCCGCAAGGCAGTGCACTTAGAACTACAATAAGCATGTTAATGTTAATCTAACAGCTCCGGCGAACCACTAGCCCCCCCCCCCACCCCAATTTTTCATTTTGAAATGCTCCCGATTTCTGAGGTCAAAAGGTTGGCAAGTATGGGGCCCGCGGGAGGTGTGAAAATGTGCCGTAAAGCAACGACGGTGCGGGACACACCAACCTGAGTACGGCGCCGCGAATGCCCGACTGCCTCTGACGGCCTCTGACTCCCAAAATCGGGTAGGTGTGTCAGGGCCTTTGAATGACTTCAGTATTTGAGTTACTTACTTACAGTTTGCAGCTCCATCTTTGAAGTGAATGTTATTTGGCACATTTCCGTTTGCTCCTATGCTAACTAAGATAATGCTCATGGTAATTGACAGCTAAACATGGGGATGTTAATGGTGAGCATGTTGTCGTTGTGACGTGTCAGCTTACTGCTGTCCCTACATTTCTATATTTGAGAGAATGCATGGGATAAGGTGTGTAAAGAATAAAAAAGGGATGTAAAAACTACTGAATTGATTGACAACATAAATCAATGAATACAAAAGACTTAAAGACTCCAACTGACATCGTGTTAACAAAAAGATCAGAAAAAAAGTTTATTGGTGTTAAAAAAAACAACCAAAAGGCACTTCACTACAATAAATAAGATTAATTTATTTCTGGTGTTCTAGTATGTGACTTAAAACACTTCAACATACACCAACATATCGAAAAGACAGTGCAGACAAACCACATATAAATAGCATTAGACGGAGGCCCTGGAGCTTCATGTTCTCATTATCTTCATCATGAAAGGTTAAATATTTAAGATGGAAATTGAATGTGCTACATGTTCCCGTGTAGCGGGAGAGGTGAGAACAGAATCTGCAGACTAAATATAGACTCACCGTGCTGCTGCTTTGGCTGCAGACTTCATTAAAGATACCCGACGGAGCTTTTTAACAGCTAAGCCTGACTGGAGTTTATGTCTGAGGTCACATTTGGAGGTTTTCAATCTGTTCACTTCTGCCATCTGGATGCACTTCCTGTTAATGGTGGTGAGAACAATACTTGAGGGGTATGTCATAATAAACATCGTCATTTATTTCCAATGCTTGACAGGTAATGTATCTAATTCAGGGTTCTAGCCAAAAACACAATCACATAATTTTAAGGTTTCAGCGTTTGAGTTCTTTTAGTTTATTGTTTTGTGTTTATTCTTGTGACCTTGAATTTTATTTTGGTATTGAGGTGTCTTTTCAGGTGTCTTTTCAGGTGTCTAAACTTCCTGTCTTTGTGTGTCACCTGCCAGCTTGATTGTGGTCTCCTGCTCGTGATTGTTTTCACCTGTGCCCCATTACCCGTTGTGTGTATATATAGCCCTTCTCTCCTTTTGTTTTTTGTCGGTTCGTCTTGTCTCAACACCAAGTCCATGGCCGTTTCTCAATCGCGAGGATAGGTAGTCGCATACTTCGAAGTCACTTCCTTCAGAAACGAAGCAAGTATACTTCCGAGCCACGGCTTCGGAAAACAAAGAAGAATGGAACAGGCTAACAAGTGTGCCACTCTCTCTAACGGTTTCAACATAAACTGTACCGAAAATAAATACCCCACGATGTCTATCTAATTATGAACTTGCTTTACTTTCACGGAACACATTTTTGGTGATAACAAATGTAACAAAGTAACATATTTACCAACACATGTTCTACGCCACTACATTACATCACACTTACATTTAAACGTGTGCTGCGTCGGTTCAGCCATTCTCCGCAAGGGTTTTTGAAATTGGTCCGTGCGCAAAGCATTGTGGGGATTTTAAGGACGCGAAGTCTACCCATGTGCAGCCTCGAAATTTCCCCCAAACCAAGGACCCG